GCATTAGGAAACCGATTTCTAAAATAGAAAACTAAATTTCCATTTTAGGAAACTAGCTTTCCAAAATAAGAAACTTTTCAAACTAGGAAACTTTTTCCAATAACCTTTGCTTCTATTTTATCATGTGAATATTTAAATTGTATATGTGTGACTCAATAGGGTTTTAGATATGTTGATAATGTATCAAGAATATAAAAGACACCTCTTTTATCTTGTGATACACAAATCAAAATTAGCCTCTAGTAAGACATCATGACTACCAATTCCGTAAGAGGATTAATTAATCCGAAATTACATTTCATGAGAATGGTTTTCATATAATTCAATGCTCATTTTAATTTATCATAGTATGATCTTGAACTTGGTTTATAATCTGCTTAATTATGATCACATAAGTTTCCTTCAATCTCTAAATATCTTAGCTCACAAGTAAACCAGGTTATGCTATATTGGTATACTTTCACTATGGCCATAGATTCCTTGAGCAAACATTCATCGAAGTGCAATGTGATAACTCCTACGGCTATAGTCTATAAGAAATGACATGTCCTATCTGAATCATACATCTATCTCCATTAGATTCCTAATACACCCAACGAATCTCTTACATTCAACTCTTTACCGAGCCCATCAAAATGAATGTTAAAATACATCAATCTTTTAATGAGATAATCACGCCGACTTCAAGTCAAAAGACCAATTATACCCATCTCGTATGAAATTCCCATAAACTAAACCAAATGGGCTCTCATGGCAATTCATGTCTAGTGATATGTTCTCTAGCATTATTCACTCGAGTGCTTACTTTGGCATCACCATATCAATAGGTTTGAGATTTTCTACTTGCTATCTTATAGTAAAAGTATAACACTCACAAGTCTTATCGTGTCAATCTTGACAATGTTATAACTTAGGACATTCGAGTGATATCATTTAAATATATCAATATTTATCTCACATCAATTGATCAATCATTAGCACAATGTATATCATATGAATTTCTATCTAATTCTATCAAATTATAAATAACAAAAATTAATAGAAAGACTTTTTTATTAATATAAAAAATTTAATGTTACAACATATCAAACCATCTAAACAAGTTGGATCTTGGACACCTAGACTAACAATCTTCCACTTGCACTAGAGTCAACTAGCCATGTCTCTTATGTTCGATAATCGACAAAGAGTTTTATGTTTCTGCTGCGAAAAAGGCTTAGTTAAGGGATTTGCTATGTTGTCGTTAATGTGAACTTTTCCTATCCTTATATTATCATGACTAATAATCTTTTTAATCGAGTGATAACGTCACGAGTACATGCTTGGACCGTTAATGAGACCTTGGTTCTTTAGCTTATACTATGGATCCTTTGTAGTCAACCATCAAGCCATGTGACATTGGAAGAAGTCCGTTCTTTAATTCTTCTATACTAAACCTTTTAGTATCATATTAATGTACATGTCTTGCGAGAGCCCTAACATTCTATGTGATCTATCTATATAGATCTTAATTCCTAAAATATATGCTACCCTCCCATGTTGAGAAGTAGTTTGTTGTCTCCATATAGAACAACAAAGACTATAAGCTCTCACTAACCCTTTATATACACAAGGCTCATTTTTGTTTTGTGAAAAGTCAAATCTTTTGATCATTTCATCGGAATGTTGATTCAACTCCTATATGCATGCTTAACTCCATAAATGGACCTTTATAATTTTACAAATCTTATATGTATATCCTTTGGTGACAAAACTATCAGGCTATGTCATGTACTCCATTCATTTTTGGTGTTCTAGGTGGATTCCATTAAGAGAGAATCTCATTCTTTTTTAAATGATCTAAAAATTTAGTACTTAGTATTCACCACCTTAATTAAATGAAGTACCTTAATACTTTTTCTAGTTTATTTTTTGACTTCAAATCTAAATTCTTTGAATTTTCAAATGCTAGATTTGTGTTTCATTAAATACATATAACCAAAATGTGATCTATTATCCTAAAGGTTATGAAATAATCATATCCTCCTCTTGCTTGGGTGGACATAGGCCCACATACATCATTATACATAAGGCTTAACAACTCGGTAGTCTTTTCTCTTTTTCCACTAAAAGAGGATTTTGCCATCTTACCAACTAGAAAGATTCATAGATATCATAAGATTCATAATCAAATTATTCTAGATATCTATTTTTATATAGTTTGGATATACTTGTTTTTGTTTATATGACTAAGTCAACAATGCCACGAGATATATTTTGTTTAGGTCATTTGTTCGAGTCTTTTGGTGTTTCTATTATAAATGGATGTGTCTATGTTCAAAACATATAAACCATTATTAATTTTAGCATTTTCATATAAAATATCATCTTTATAAAAAGAACAACCTACCTTTGTTCTTAAATAAAAATGAAAAACCATCTTGGTTGAAACAAGAAATGAAAATGATATTTCTAGTTATACTAAAAATGTAATTGCAGTTTCTAAGTATAAGCACAAGCCCTAACAGACATTGCTAACTCATAGGTGTCTACCGCTAATGGTATAACTCTTGAACCATTACCAATGCGTAAGTCAACCTCCCCTAAAGCAATCTTTCTTCACTCTTTTAGTCCTTGCATATTTGTATAAATATGTAAACCACATCTAGTATTAAATACTCATGATGTGAGGCTAAAAGTAGAAAAGTTTACTTTAATAACATAAACATTAGAGGTACTTATAGAACTCTTATTTTACACCTCTTCTTGATACTCCTTTCTCTCTATCGTATAAAGCATTTTTCCATATTGGAAGACATTCCTTAGATTCATTTTTCTAGTCAAGAAAGTTTGTCATTCAAAGAATTATATCTATTAATCATCGATCGCATCAATGTATTACTAATCATACTATACAATAGCTTTGACGTGAATGGAAAAACACATGGTTTAGTTAGTTGAATTGCATTAATAAAACAAAGCATAAATCAAGAAGTAAAATCTATGTTCGCTCCTATTATTTTCTTCAAGTTCTATAACCTTCAGGTATAGGACTTGAGAAAACTTTTGATTTGTTTTCCTTAGTGGGTTAGGATCTCATCCTCTAATATGCATTAACCTTGAGTTATCTCAATAAGTCATACATGAATAATTAAGTAGGTAACTCTTTACCAATTGCATCTAATATAATTCTTAATCTCATTAGCATGACAACTCTTTATCATCTTACATCTTATATGAATGCCAATCTTTGCTTACAAATTCGTTAAACCTTGAGTTATCTCAACAAACCCAATAATTTATTTTAAGTTGGACCTAAATGTTTGGAGACATCACATAACCCATGATCCGATTCTCTCAAAGAAGAAGTGGCCTCGAGCTATCTCGACAAGTCAACAATGACCAAGAGAGTTCTCTCCTCATAACGTTGGAAGACATTTAACTTGATATTAATTTGAAGGATTTAATATGGTATGTCTCATCATTTTAATCCTATCATGCATACTAAATATTAGTCGCATCACTACCATGTATATAAGAGTTCAATCATATCAATTTCATACATGACTCAATGATCGATGAATAATAATAGCTTTCTACTCGCTAGTCCCCTCGAGCCACGAGAAGATTAATAGGTCAAATACTTAGGTAAAAAATTATTACAAATTCTTTAAAATTGTCTCCTCTTCTTAGCTTCTTCTTCGTATCTATTCTAATAATTTATCTTTTACTTTTACAATTCTTTGAATAAGAAACCGTGAGTTACATTCGAGGAAGTAAGATGAGAAGAGAAATATATCGAATAATAAAAAAAGGTAGGACACGTAGACCTTATTTAATCAAAAATTTATAAGCATAAATTTTCAAAAACTAAGTCGACTCATTCATGTCATTCACTCATGCTTTAATCACATTAATTTATGACATATAAACAAATAAATCACATTTCATTTGAATCATACTTATAAATCGATGGTTTTGATTATTTTATAAAATATTAAAAAAATTTTTAATTTTAATTTTTTTAAAACTTTTAGACCTTGAGCCCATTTGGGCCCATTGGTTTTTGGGCTTAAGACACCCATGGCTCGTCCCATCCTAGTTGACCGAGTGCCTAACACTAACTAGTAGTCGCCACTAGACCGATATGCTCGCACGCACTTGGCCTAGCATTAGCCTTGGCAAGTGCCTAGCACTAGCCTTGGCTAGTGCCAGCACTAGCTGGGGCCCAGCCTTGCGTGCATGAGGCGAGGCCTAGCCTTGGTGCGCATGACTTTACTAAAAATTACTCTCATAAAAAATTAAATCATTTAATATAAATAAAATATAATTGTTAAAATATTTTTAATATATTATAATTTTTTTTGGTCATTTTATATTTTAAAAGTAAAAAAATATTGTTTAACAAAATATTATTTAACAACGTTAAATATTTATGAACACATTAAATTAACTGGTTATCAAATACTATTTTCATTCCATAGCACAACACTCAACCACACAACACAGCACAATAATACCAAACCAACCCATTGTTGGACCAAATTAATTTTTTATAGATACTAATTTATTGAAATGATAATAAAATTAATACGTTGCGTAAAATGTACGTATGTATAGAAACAATATGAAATCCATGCTCTAATTTAATACACAATCTCTTATATATATAAAGGAATATTAGGTTTGATGATTATGGTATGTGTTAGTGTATCCAAGTCATTGTTAGGATATTACCACACCAGAAAATCTCCTTCAATCTACAAGAATTTAAAAGGTGATAATCATGTATTGTCTCCATTCCATTGCTATTGGCGGTCCTGCAATTTTTAATTCTATCATTTTATTTGGTTATTTTGAAAGTCAAAATTTTGTAAATAATAAATAAGGGGAAGAGGGAGTATAGGTTGAGTAATAGAGCATCACCTCGTCCGTATGCATGAAGCAAAAAGCCTAGAGGACAGGGTCTTCTTGAGCCTCATCAAGCAATACCAACCAACTTGTCTCATTCATCCAAACCCATGTTTCAAGAAACATCACTTATTCTTCCTCTGATTGGCACATTATGCCTAAATCAGAAACTTATCCCCACCAAAATCATATCATTTCAAGTGTGCATAATAAATGGACGCATCAATAACAGTAAGGAGAATTGTAACCAACTGGGTGGGATCAACCAAACACTTCATCCACTCAATAATATAAAAGCCATGATGAGAGAGGAGGTTAATACTTCCATACGTTCATGCTTTTTTTTTTTTTTTGTCTTTACATCAATATTGTACATTGCATTTATGTTTTTTTTTTAATTAAAAAGTCCCTCTATTATTTTTTTATCTGAATATTAATATTATATATTTCATTTTAATTATCCTTACGTCCGTCAGTGATGCCTAGCACCTTTAAATTTACCTATTAATTTCAAAAAGTCAAAAAATAAATTTTATTTCAAAACAACGGCTCAATCCCTGATTTCTTGATTTTGATAACGAACCCTAAACTTTTTCATTACTTAACAATTTTTCTTCAATTGGGTTGATGGGTCATGGACGTGATTATTTTCATTACTTAAAATTTTTATTTTCTATAATATCATACATTTATTATGGATATTTATTTTGTTTCCTTCTTTATTTTTTTGGTGATTTTTTTATTACAATCAGAACAAAAAGAAAAAAAATCATAATAAATACATGATATTATAGGAAAATCTTTTTATTTTTAATGGGTGTGCCTATATAAACCCACTCACCCATTTAAATTGCCTAACTAATGTTGACTAAGTTTAAAATTTGACTAATAGAAAAAAATTTTGATTTAGAAAATAAATTATATTTATTGTAATATAAGAGGAGAAATTTTTTTATTTGTAATAAACTATACTACAGGGACTAAAGTAAACAAATTAAGTGAACATCAAGAAAAAAATTCACGTTGTCCCTATATAAATGAGAGTCTTGAATACCTATGAAGAGCGGTAGTTAAAGGGGGAGAAAAAATGAACGAGCAAAGCCAAACTGCCAAAGTCCTTCAATTGAATTGCCAGGTCATATGGAATCAAACCACATCTATTGCACATGCAAAATGGATGATAATTAGAGTGACCAACCATCTGATTAGTTGAGAGGAGGACCTTAAATTAAGTTTAAGCATTTCATAAAACACACCAGTTCCTCCACCTATCTCACTGGGTCCAAATCCAACCATGTTTAAAAGTTTATTGGCTGTGGACCAGCTTTAAGTGTTGGTGGGTCCATGAGATGTGTTTTCAACGCTGAGGTGATCATAACTGCCCTCTTTGAATAGGTCATCCACATGGGACATTTATTACTATTTTTTTAATTTGGTGTCTCTTAACTCCTGCCTGCTTCTAGGTGTAGGTGTAGGTGTGATGTGAGATCACCAGGCACAAGAGATCTTGATCTTTGACCTCAAAAAGCAAACCATCCTGCCGAGCGTATCACATTGTGGCTGGTTCTCAGCCATCATCATATCATCACCTGCATTATGGTGATAGATACAGTCACTAGGATATTTTTTTATCTAGACCAGCTCATCTCCTACTTACTATACATGAAGAACTTCTTCACGCTAAATTGCTTTCAAATTAAATAACAGAGAGAAGCATTAATCAATCTGATTTTAGAGTTTAGAGACCAAGGAACGCCTTTTACACGATCATTACCCAAAGCAAATATGCTACGCATCGATCCCACAACCCTAAGAATCTAAAAGTCAGCTCGATGCAAAATGTAAATTAGTAAACAAAAAATTATAGTAGCAATTATATTATATCTTTTTACACACTTTGTTCAGCATCACATCGTGTCTTGAGACCCAACAACTAATTGCTGATGAATGTGAAAAATTATCTGTCCTAGAAAGTACATTGAAGTCCCTATTCATCACAAGGCTGAAGCCAACCTTAGGCTTCGTCTGCATGGTTATCGAACTAATAGGTAGGATGCAAAACATATTATGGGTTATACAGCAATTCACCAACAAAAAAAAAAAAAAAAGGAACACCCCCTGGAATTTCTACAATATCAGTCGACCTTGAGAGGCATTTCTACACGAAGTTGCTCAAAACTCAAGCGTCCGGGTTTTCCATGCAATCAACCAGTAAAAAGAAAATACCGGTCAGAGCAGACTTGAGAAGCAGTTCAGGTACCAGCAAGATTTTGGATTAAAAAAAAAAAAAAAAATCAAAATGGGAAGTATCTTGTTGGTCATTCTTCAGTCACGGCTGGCAAGTGACAGAAGTGACGGCAACATTCTTGGAGTGGCATGAGTCAGCATTTGCAATCTTACTATAGAAACCCCACGATGGGTCTGATTCTGTAATTGCTCGTTGACCAAATGGATGTCGTGCAACATATTCTTGGACGTTTTGAGCCTCAGCTAATCGCTCCAGATATACCCGAAGATTACCTTCTGGTCCTGTTCAGAGCCACATGTGTATAAACAAACATTAGAAAACAACAGGGAAAGAACATTACTGCATTTGTTTCATATTTTCTCTAAATAAAATAGCCCATGAAAGGACTACTAGGGTTGAACCGGGCATCTACCATTATATCCACAGTGATTGGCCATACCATTGCTATCCATAATGGGAAGGAACATTTACCCATTTATATAACAGATAGTATGGTGGGCCATAAATTGAGATTAAACAGCAGAATGATAGTTACGACAACAAAAGCACAGGATGACTGTAGCTGCATCCAGGATAGGAACTAAACACAAACATAACCAATGTTCAAAAACCAAAAGCACAACATATACATAGAGGTGGTGCAAACTCAAGCCATGAACCTAAAAGTGATTAGTTAATATTGTTTTCATTTGAATGACGCCAAAGATTCACATATCTCCCAAACAAAAAATGTAGATGTGCTTGGTTAGAGAGGAGAAAACAGGGGATTTGAAACCCCTGAAGTTAAATATGGGTAACACAAACTAGCTTGGTATATTGATTGCTGAGTGTTCATTCATAGGCTCAAACTTTGACCTACCATATCCAGGCAAGATCAAGCAATTGTTTCAAGCCGCTTTCAATGAATATGTTATAACAAAGTGGCTTACTGTATGCCTTAAATTTGCCAAAAGAGAGAAGCCTCCATCTACCTTGCAAGCGTCTTACCTAATGAAGAATCTGCTATGTCCTTGTACCCATATGAACGGGGAAATATAGCAGTGTGCATCTAAACAACAAAACAGTGGCATAGAATTAGATAAAGAATGGTGTCAAAGTATCCTCCCAATTAAACCAGTTACGCACCCAAAATGAGAGAGAGAGAGATTAAAGAGAACTATAAAACATACAGGATTGCATATAGCCTTGTATGGTGAATCATCCAACAATAATGTATTCGATTCATCATATTCTCCTTTATTAATAGAATCAAGATATTCCCATATTTTTTTTAGTTCCTTCAAAAACAGAGGTTTGCTCCTATTCTCGACTGTGGTGAATCCTGTATTTGTGCAGTGAGATTGATCCTGCATGAAAACAATCCTCATAAAGCTTAAACAATGTTACGCCAAAAAAAAAATGGAAAGAAAAGCTACGGCAGCAATAACACAAGCCAACAGACATTATCTTTAATTGTTTGCACCCTTCAACAAAGATTTCAACAGCACCACACAAATGAAATACTGCCTGAATTGAATTTTTGCCAACATCTTAAGAGATCTTGAAGCACCTAACTGCAGTGCTTCAGAGGTTCATTAAACTTCCAACCAAAATACAGATAATACAAGTTCAGGTACCAAGTCCCTGTAGATAGTTTTGACACCTAACCTATTAGAGGTTTGACTGTAAATTTCTTTAGACATTCAGAGGAAAGTATCCGCCCAATAAAAATAAAAATGGTATTACTAAGAAAAAAAGTTCTATAGTAGTCAAATTGAGTTGTGATCCTGCCAAAAACACCCAGATGTAATCCCAAAGAAGAACTGGCAGCTAAAAATGATCAAACCAGCAACCAATGCTCATATCAGGCATTGTTGCCAGTGCCAAGATTACTTTTCAATGCAAAGCCATGCTTGTAAAACTTTTTTTCTATGTTTATTGATGTTACAAGCCGAAAAAAATTATATAATCCAACAAGGAACAAGAATAACTAAAAGGACAATGAGCCAACTCTACGGCTACCTAGTCCCCCCAATATGTCGGGTTAGGCCGGTTTGTCCCCCCTTGTACCATTCCACATTTATTTATAATATTCCAGAGTACCGCCCCTGTTCGCAAAAAAAAAAAAAAGCCAACTCTATGGCACTACTTACGCTAGGAAAAACTCCCCATGTGAACCAGTAAAATGGATTCCTAATCCAATTGCCTGCTCAAAAGGATGGAAAATTTTCCATCAAACACCCTTTTGTTTTGTTCCATGCATACAATTAAAATACAGCCAATCAAATGTAACCTAAAGCTCCCTTAGTTATTGGCATGCACAAAAGAAGAGAAAATTTAATTTGCAAGGCACACTTACCCAACAAAAAAGCAACTTATGCCTAGAATCACCAAAGAGAGAATCAATCAGTTCGTTAACATTTCTCCTGCAATTATTGAGAATACAGTTGAGGTACAATGATGACCACAAAGAAAATGCTAATTTGCAGACTGATATATAGAGCAATGATTGTTAAAGCTAAATGATATGAATAACACCTAAAAAAAAACAAAAAAGAAAAAAAAAAAGAAAGGAGTATGAGACAATGATAGGTATGAACTAAGAACAATACCTGGTTCTGGATGACCAAACACCAACATTAAATTTCTCAAAGCAAAACCTCAGAAAATCATCACAGAAGGGCCTTTTGAAAACTGAAAAGAGACAAGTAGAATGAAGTTTCAACTATTAAATGAGAAATGAGAACATTTGAAAATTCTAACTATATAAATAAGTTTTATACAGCAATGTTCACCTGATTTCCCAGAAACTATTACGTTAGCCTGATATCCAACAGAAACATAAGAAACAATATCAGCTAGGAGTCCATTAACATCAAGGATGAGGAGCTTTTTACTGACACATTCATTGCGAGGTCGTTCCAGTATGAAGACTTCTGGAATCTTCACCCCCTTGACAGAAACTTCCACATCAACACCACCCTTTATCTCATCAAACTTACTTTCCTCACGTGCAAAGTCACCCAGTGAGTGATTAGAGGTCATCTCAATCAAAACATTTTCTGCAACCTCCACTGATGCAGCATCCTCCATGACTTGCACTCTTTCTACCTTATTTTCCAAGACATCGAAGGAGTGAACTTCATTTGACTGGTCCAATGAAGTTTGGCCAGCCACCAAGAGGGGTTCCACAGAATATTGCAAGGAATCATGTGAATTTCCTCTTTTCTTCTCATATACAAAGGATGGACTTTTCTCAAACCTGTCTCTATTATTTCTAGAATATTTCAATACATCAAATTTGCCCTGTGCGAGAACTGAATGAGAAGTGATATTATTTATGATTGAATTCTCTGACCATGTATCTTTAAGTGAGGACAAACTTTTCTTCCCCCCTTTCTCTTCTTTCTTGAATATTTCGATACTAAATCACATTTGCCCTCTGTGAGAGCTGAATGAGAAGTAATATTCTTAATCGGGCACTCAAGAGTCTCTTCCTCGGAGAAAACTGCATCACAAGCATTGTTATTGATTGGATGCTCAAAGCATTTATCTCTCTCTACATTCATCAAATAAGCTCCTTGTGCAGAATCATGATCAAGAGCCATACTTGAATTATCTGGTTTCATCTCTTCCTACCACAAAGTTACTTGTGCATTACAAGATGCCATCTCTAAACGGAAAGAAATCAAACGATGTACGAGTAGTTCAGCACATGCATGATAAATTTCATACTTTTTGTGTTAATTTTTTCACCTTTAACCAGCAATGAGCCTTAAGAGAGCTATAAATAATAGCAAACATAAGATGATGAAAATAAGCAATAAACATTGAATGTGATTAGCTAAAACGTAAAAGCAAGTTTTCTCACTCTAAATCTCACACCAACTAGAAAAATGGGTGCATGTATTAGTATTCTTATTATTATTATTATTATGGTAAACAATTATTTTGGAAACTATGAATCAATAACATTTCCATCTAAATACCTCTCTTGAGCAATCAAACAATCTATCAGAAATAATATTTACAATGAAATAAATAAATAAATAATGTGATACAATAACATTGACCAAGAAAAAATGAATCCTGCGAAGACACAAGCAGAAACAATAATAAAAAAATCCTAGCCACAAACTCAATTCTTTATGTACAACACATACATTGTAAATAAATAAATCTGACTGAGTGGGTTTTTTATTCTTTTTTTCCAAAAATGCAAAATAGAAACATTAATTAATTTTTTAAAGAAGCTGTCAATAATCTGAGTTAATAGCAGTATTAATAGGTAATTTGCAAGTTGTGAACAAGCTTATTGTTAAGACTTAGCTAAACCAATTTTTAAACTGAATCTAGAAGAACAAAACCTAATTTTAACTCTTTTCTTATCTCTCAGAACAAAGAATAATAGCACATGAACACAAGGTTTATCAAAGCAGAAGCAAGATCAAATAAAACACATACAGTTAATTTACTGAAAAAAAAAATCAAATCAAATCAAAAGAAGAGAAGTGGAGAGAACCTGAGAGAAATTGCCTCGATTTGAAAGTAGAGTGTAAATTGGTGAAAAATTGAGCAAGAAAACAAAATTTAGTTTAGGAAGGAGGGAAGAGGAAGAGGAGGAGAAAAGATACAAGTAAACTCCGAGACAAGAAATGAAAAGGAAACCGAAAAGACAGAGAGACGTTGAAGAAGGAGACTCTCTTACTTTCCTGCAACAAAACGATTGAATATAGCAGTGCCTGCGGACTCCGCTCTACTGATCCAAACGTTACAAATCAGTCCTTTACTTTTATTTGTTTTATAAATCAGTCCTCGTACTATAGTATTTTTTCATGAAAGCCTCAAATCCCACATTAGCTGTAATTGGGACCGGTTATGTAGATCCTTTTGCAACATTTCGAGAGATTTAAAAATTCTTAGACAACCCTTTCCATCCACATTAACTTAGGTTTTTTTTTTTTTGATATTTTTCCAAACTTGTGATTTTTGTTGGATGTAATCGAATCATCTTAAACTTTTTTTTTTTTCGTATTGGAAAAAAATTCCAAACTTATGAATATCAGAGACTGATTAGTTAGATAATATATAGGTTAAAGAATATACTATAGTTATTCGCAAGGGTAATGAATAAATTATAAATTAGACCGTTTAATTTTTAAAATGAATTAACAGTTCCTTTAATTTCAAAATTAATTAATTATTTTTTTAATCCATTTCATAATTTTTTTCATTTATTTTTTAATAGATAGAAAAATAAAAAATAAAAATGAATAATATGAAAAAATTAATTAAAAAATATTTTTTAAAATAAAATAATAATAAATTAAGGATATCAATAAATTAATTAATTAGTTTTGAAAACTAAAAGAGCTATTTAATTTATTTTACAAAATTAAAGGGACTAACTTATATTTTACTCCAGGAGTTAGTAACTTTTTTCTTGTCTTTCAATGTTCCGGTCATCAATAGTTTTCGGTTTCGGTGCATGTATGTCCATGCGCATCTTCATCGAATTCATGAGTAAATTACGCATAGTCCTTCTTGGTTAGAGAAACGAATTCATTAGTTATATATATATATATATATATATATATTATTTAGTTTTTTATATTTTAATTCATTTAGTTTTTTCATCAATTTTTTAGATCAATGATTTTTATTTTTAAATTATTTTTTAATTTTGATTCAAGAAAAAGAAATAAAGGGAATGAAAGAAATAAATACGGTATCAAAGGGAGAAAAAAATCACTAAAAAAAAACACGATGAAATAATTAAGTTATTGGTAGAATTAAAATATAAAAAATAATTTTTTAAAAAAATAAGTTTTTTTTAAAAAAATTATCTTTGTACCATTTAAGCATCCACCATTCTTAATGGAAGGTTAATTGTTAAAGAGGTTATTAAGTAATCGAGTAAATTATAAATTATTTTCTCTATTTTTAAAAAATGAAAAATTAGTTTTTTCTATTTTAAAAATTAGTTTTAGGGTTTGGATAATGTTTGATTTAATATTATTTTATTTAAAAAAAAATGTCATCATTTCTTTTTAATCCTTCCATATTTTTTACATATTATTTTTTTCTTAAAAAAATTAAAAAATAACAAAAAGAATTAATTTTAAGAAAATTTAAAAATATAAAGACTATATAATTAGTTGAAACAAAAGAAATCAATTAATTGTTTTCTCGAAATTAGAAAGAATAATTTTTAGTTTACTCTTTAAGCACCTCAAATTGATGTTTTTTTAGGGAAAATTTTACCCTTCAAGCAATATTTTTTGTTTTTCTACTTTCTTTATATTTTTTATCTCCAAAACATTGACCAAATAATTTTTTATTCTTCTCTCTCACCAATCATTATTAATAATTTAACTTTTTTTATCTCACTTTACACTAATATTTAACTCTTCAATAAATATCCTTAAAAAACAAGTTTTACATACAAATTAAGGTTTTCCCCACATTTAGATTCTATACTTTTCGATTTTTATTTATTTATTCTATACTTTTCGATTTTTATTTATTTATTGAGACATTCAACTATATTTTGATTTGATTGAAACCCTCTACTCTTTAAAGTTTATTGTTTCGGACTCTCTATTATAACGCTATCAATTATTAGTCAACACATGGCATTGTAAAGTAAGAAATCTCGATCACGTGTCGATTAATAATTTGTACCGTTATAATGGAGAGTCTAAAGTATTAGGACAACAACTTTTAGTTACACACAATAACTTTGATTGCCCATAACATCCGGAGGAATTCATGCCAACATCAAAACAAACACACTAGCAATAATCTCTATTGTCAAAACCTATTTTTTTACCCACGTATTTATTTTAAATCTTTTCATAAATTCTTTTTTATTTATATAGTTTAGGTTTCCAGTAAATTTTAATTTTTATCATTAATAGATTTTATTTTATTTAGTTTTAATCTTGGCTTATTTTCCTTTCATCATTTTACCATACACACAACAAAAAAGAAAAAAAGATAGGGTTAATTTTGGATTAATTGATTAAGAGTTTTAATTGTGATTAAATTAAGAAGTATTGTGGGCCAATTCACAAATGTTGGGATTTTTGAGAGAACAATTAAAAAAAATAAGGGATAATTGGTGGAAATTAATACAAGAAGGACCAAAATAACATGTCCGAGGGACTTGATTGAATGAAAATTGAAGCACAATGGGATAAATTTGGAAGAGACAAGCAGACGACAGGATGAACTTAAATGTTTGGCCATAAATGACTAGTAGTTTGTTGTCTCCATTTCAGCCCCTTACGTACCATTCATCGTCTTCGTTAAATTCCAAAGAAAACAATAGTAAAGACTTGAGAGGGGGAAGGCTTAACTGGCATTCTTATCGTGGCCAGCTAAGATGTACTGATTGCTACCATAAGATAAAAGAATACAACAAACAATGACCAACTATGGTCTTTGCCCTTTGTCATATCCCAATTTTTACTCATTTTAAACTTTTTATTTTTATTTTTTTCTGTTACTTTTGTTCTTTAGTTCTTTTTCTATTTTTATTAAAAAAATTAAGAAAAAAATTACAAAAATCAACAACTTTTTTATTATTTATTAGCTTGGGAACTCAGTACAAAATTACAAAAAAAAAAAAATTACAAAACAAATAAAAATCCAAAAAAAAAAGAAGAAAAAAATGAAAATGTAAGGACAGTTCCCCTTCATCTTTGTATAATTTTCCTTAAGCAGCCACAAATCCAATTAACAACTCCAAACCATCAACTAGACAATTCCAATAATCCTTATCCTTGCAGCCACACTGAAATACCATTTGGATAATTCCAGCCTCCCTCACCATGTGGCAACTTGTAGCCCACAACCCTTCCCTCTCAAGTCAATAATTCCAACTGCAACTTATAGCCATTGACTTATCCTTGGATAAATCACCTGCCCACCATTCCAGCAACCTTATAGCCCATCCCACAACGACTTACAACCTTTGTTCTGCTACAAGTCACCTTGCACAACCTCCCTCAAGTCAGCCTTTGCCTCCTTTTATTGCCATAGCCGTCAATCCTGCTGCCATTTTTTGCTGCCAGTGTGATAACCCAACCTAAAAATATATTTAAGTTAAAAGAAATAAGCTGGGTATAAAAGGGATGGAGCAACAGCTGCTGCCTTTTATTTTTCTTCTTTCTTCTTTCCTTTTTCTTCTAATGTCATTCTCCTAATTTTTCCCCATTTTTGCTTTCAAATCCTAAGCTAAAACCTTGTAAAATTCGCTTAAAAAACCCATAAACTAGTTGATTAAATATAGCTTAGCTAAATTGAAGTTTGAAAAGCTTAGAGAGTTGAAATAGAAATTAGGATTGAAAAACAAAGTGTCAAAGGTAAGATTTTTTATCTCTTGATCTTTCAATTGAAATGTTTACATGTAGTTAATGATCATACTAAAGTTGAATTGTATTGGGTTGTTGTTTGAATGACGAATTGATTAGATTAAAGTTAGAGTTTTTTTAGACCTATTTAGGGAAAAGGTTGATTAAGTGATTCTAAATGATTAAATGATATTTAATTACTTTGGGTAAGTGGTTTATAAAATTAATTTGAAGTCGACTTGGAGTGAATTTGAGTAATTAAGAGATTGAAG